AACCAGAAAAGCTAGAAGGCTGAAACTTTGGGAGTATGTGCCCATACCATGCGCGACCCTTCCGTTTTAATATTATTCTCCGCGGGCGCCTTAAAAAATATGTCATATTTTCTGGCAGGAAAGGTAGGGTAAGGGGCTGAAACTTTGCAGGGATATTCTCTGTGCATGTTTGAATTGAAGATTTCAAATTCAACTCCCAGCTATGGATGGTACTCACGTGAGGTCGTATGTAATTTTTTGGTGGAAAATTACTAACCCGGGAACCGGGAAAGAAAGAAAGCTGGAATTTTAAGGGAATGTTCCCTATTCAAGTACTACTTAAATATTTTAAATTCAGCCCTGAGGTATGTGTGGTTCTTATGTATGAGCATTTAAAAGTTTTAGCAGAAAAATTTCTAATTGAACAACTACTTTACTTTTAGAGAAAGACTGTTAAATGGAAATTGTATACTTACTTTGTGCAATATTTATGGTGATTTATGCTAGTGTCCGCAAAAGATATGTGTGAAGTAACAATCATTCATACAGTTAATGACCTGAGTACTTCAAGTCCGACGCAAAAATGCATTATCGCATGAACCCACCCAGTGCGTTCCAGCCTGGGTTTTTATCAAGCACTAGCTTTTAGTGTTTTTGCAGCTAAAGAAATGAAAAGAGAAAAACATCTTTCTTCTTTCTAATTTTACGTTTGGTCCACCAATTAAAAAAGCAAGAATTTTTCAAAAGATAATTGATTTAAAATATAACGAAAATGCTTTTTTACTTGAGCAGAGCCGTTGACTTTTGAAGTAGAAGCTAGATTTTGGTGGCTGAAGCTTTTCCTGACCATCGTCACTGGCAATCGAGTTGGTATTGCTGGTTCAGATGGCGCATAGTCTGCAATTTTAATCAGTTTATTTTACACTGTTCGTTTTGCGTCACAGTGTTCCATCATCTGTTACGCTTGCACATCGCTAACCGGATGTGCTAAGCCATGGACAAACGGCTACCCTTTCTTAATTTCTCCATTAGTTTTATAAAAAAAATTGTTCGATATTTGGCGGTACTAACTGAGACACCTACTTGCTGACCCCGGGCAACCGGTTCGAATCAGTCCGTGAAAACACCATTTTAGCCGTTTTATAAAAACCGTTATTGTAGTCTGCTTATCAAAAGCCATACGTCAGATTCCTTCCGTGCTTACCCTCTGTAAAGGAGAATGCGCTTAGGAAGTGATCCGGTGGCAACAAGTGCTAGTAACAGTTATCTGCTGACAAGGCTCTCCATGGCTTCCCCTTTCGAGGCCTGCTTGTGAGCAATGATTACAGATTTAACCCCCAGCTAAGCGTTATCACCAATTTACTATAGAAATGAATGAACGAATCACAAGACTGCTTGTCCCTTACACGAAGTCGAACTCTTTACCTATTGTACGACGTGAGTGCTATTTCTCACTGCTCCATGCCAGCGGACTTAACACATATATAGCAGTTTTAATCATGTCTAGACCTAAATATAAACAAAATCGAACCGTCATAATTTGTCGACTTTGTTGATTTGATGGGGAGTTCATCTCGATGCACAACTTTATTACTACTCGGTGTATAATGCTCGAGAACAACTCCATCGGAACTGCGTCGAATCGAACTCTCAGCGCTAGAGCATAAATTTATGACTGAAATTCAAAAACTCGCGCTCCTCCCTCTCTCCCCTTCTCTCTCTTTCATCCTTCCTTCAACTCCAGCTTCTTTTCTTCACTGTTGGATTTCAACATTTAAATGAAATGAGTATCGAACCATATTGCAGATAGCAACCACTTCAATCAGAACTGTTCATGGTGCCCTTTAAACACAGCCTGAGGAACAAGCTGATGATCAGTGATGCTCTTAAAATTGTTTTAAAATATTTGAGACACAGAGCTAATAAGCTCAGACTTGCTTTAATTTACTTTTCTTTGTAGTGCTGAGTTGTCTTTTTTCCTTTGTTGCTGTCTCCAGTTTTTGCCTTGAGCTTCTGACTTGTATCCTCGTAAACCTTCTCTGTCTATCCCCAAATCCTGCCTCGAATGAGCCTCTAGGCGTAAATGAAGGTTCATTCCTTTTTAGCCGCTAGTGAAACATAAGTTTTGCATCAAAAATCTCAGATGCTTTCCTTTATCTTCGTATTAGTGATTTTTCAATTACCAAAGACAAACCCATTCACATCTGCTTTTTCTCGACTCAGTTCTTTCTCGACGTTGTTCTCAGCATTCACTGCGCCGCCATTCTCCAGGATCCTGCTCAGATCCGTACCTAACAGTTGATTCAAACTATTCCTTTTTTGTAGCACCTTGGCGAGTCGGATGCGATCCAGTGAATGCGACAACTACAACTCATTACATGTCGCACATCACTGAGTCAGCAATCAGCAACATTTGACATGCTTGACATATAAATGAAAACACTGCCTATAGCATGATTCACTATTCCTGCCATTAACGGATATCGGGAGCGCTCTCTGAATTTTGTTTGTCCAGTCCACCAGCTTTTCCAAGAATTCTGGGATTTTTGCCACTCAGATTTAGCACTGCTGGAAACATTCAGAACCAGTAAAAGATACAGCAGTTCTTGCGAGCAGCAGTTCAAAGTTTCTTCCCCGGGATACTTACCTGTGGGGACTGACGTTTTAACTTCAAGATCGTCTTTCTTCATTCTTAGCAATTTACTGTACTCATCAACGATGATAACTCCTGCATTTGCACAAGTAAATCGGTTCAACTTGTGTAGTGAGTTATTTTATGAAACTAATTGCAAACTCACCATATTCTCATCGGCCTGCCTGTCATGCTTTGCACCGCCTGCAAAAATCCACATTACTAGAAACTAACGTTTCCGTGCAACTTTTGTTTAAGGAATGGCTGCGTAAATTTTGGATTGTCTGAACGCGCAGCTTGTACGATCATAACACAGTAGCATATCCTGTTGTCCAGAGGATTGAAAAGCTCTTCTCATTCCGACTTCTGTCGATGATTCAAAAATACAGCTACACGACGGCCTTAGCTATTCCAAACGCTTGTATTCGAGCAGCATTTCTCACTCTTTCTCAGAAGTCATTCCAGGTCATGGCAGTGCTGCCAGAATTTCTTTTAAGCAGTGGATTTTGACAAATTTTTAATAATTTTATGTTTTATGAGTTTTATGCCACAAATTTAACAAATAATTTTTATATTTTCGAATAAGTTTTATATTACAAATAAGTTTTACAAATGTTATGTTACAAATAAGTTTTATGTTACAAAAATTACACATATTGCTGCTCCATCTAGTTACTTTGGGTGGACATCTAGTTACTTTGATATCTATGCTACTAGTTTGCAAAATCACGATATAACAAGGGCCATCTCGACACTGTGCACCGTCCTTCCCATTATCCAGAGCATTTGATCGGCGCACATTCACTGGCCCAAAAGTACTGTATGAATTCTAGTTGGTATGTCTCGAAATATTTTTTTTCATCAAGAAGATTATTTCTGGAGGGATCAGCTGCCCTCTCCTAAGGATCTGTTCTAGAAACAGATAGCAGGCCGATATAGTAGTATATTTTTGCAGTAAGCTTTTGCGGAATTGTGTGATTGGATCAGCCGAATAGGAGTTTGCCATAACTCGCTCTCCTCATTTCAGCACTTGAAAATCACCAAAATTTCATCAGTGGCACTGTTCTGGATACAGTTATAACAGCCCGTAATCATGCGAGCAAACACAAATTAATAATTGGCTAACGCACGGGCTGCCTGTGCGAAGATGCGTTTTTATGCGTTTTTTGCAGCAATGCAATGCGAAAAACGCATATTGACGAGAGGTTGTCTG